TTCGAACGAGTCAGACTCATCGCCCATCAACTAGTGGACTCGATCGATGGTTTCCAGGTACTCACTCTGGTCCCTCAGGCTCAGGGGACTGCGGTTGCACTTGCACGTGTGTAGTGCCCTCATCTTGGATTTCCCTGATGATATCGTCCACATTTTCGCCCACTCTTATGCGGGCGAGAACTTTGGAAGCATCACTGTCCGAGGCCACTTTTAATCTATCAATCAGCGCGTTCATGCCGCCCATGGTGTCGTGAAGTTCGGCATTCTGTTGTTTCAGCGCGGTGCGGCGCGACGTGATGTTATCGGCTACGTCGTAGGTGCAGTCCAGATTGCGGACGCGACAGGCGTGGCAGACAGGGCGCTCGCCGTCGCACTGTTCATGTTGGTCAGAGCCAGATGTAAATGAAGGAGCTGTGGGCAGGCAAGAACAGCCGGACACATACCTTACACTTCCTCCGCTGGCAGGTCGAGCAAGCTACGGCTGTAAGCTTCCTTTTCTTCCTCGCCGGATCCGCCTCGCTCGGTGTGCCTTGGCCGCCGCCAACAGGCTGGTCAGCGAGTGTGTAGGTAGTCTCGTTCGAAGGTGCAGGCGCAATATTCTGCGGCTTCGATGTGTGTCCTGCCATTATGCGGAGAGGCTAATCTTCCACGCACATACATGTAAGTGTTGGAACGCCTGGAGGATTGGGAAAAGGCTAAGCGAAAGCCCTGGCGTGCGTGCAGGTGGACGCTGCGGGACGATGAGGCACTACGGTGATACTGTACGCGAGGCGATTACAAGTGGTCGGTGACGAGGTGGTGGGGGCGGGGTGATACCTACCCACAGGAACCTGACCTACCTAGGTACATAGGTAGGTACGCACGGGTGGGAGTTGCCGAACTGACGTAGCGAGAGCGCATCTTCCCGGCAGCTAGAGGTGGTGTATGCAGGGTGGTGCTTGGACTCGGGGAGTCGGGGACAGCGCCATTTTGCTTGGTCGCCGTTGCCTATTTGGGGTGCGGGGCAGGGTCTACAGTAACAGGGTCTGGCAACCCAGCAAGGTCCAGCACGGTCTCCTACTCACAGCGCAAGGAATGGCCGAGACCGTGTGCCCAAATGGGATACAACGATACATACCTCAATGTTGTGAGTAGCTGTAAGTCCGATGATGCGTCAACGATCCATGTTGGGTGATCCATCTCGGGTTCAATGTTGATGATTAGGATCTGGTAAGATGTTCGAAGCGATCGGACAGCTCAGCTGCAGCGTCTGCATGCGGACCCTGCCGGAGGTCGTCATTCGCCCACCACTGTACCTCGGGTACTTACCTACATAGCTTAGCTTAGCATACAGCAAGATGATAACACTGTGACATGTACAACCACGCCACGCTGGCACTAAAGCTGCCTGCCCTGGCACAGTACCGACGCGAGCCGACCAGGAAGAGGAAAGTCTACATGTGCTTACGATCCAAATCCAGTCGCGGCATATCCGGATATGGCTTGGCGACCTCACACCTCTATACAGATCTGCATTCAAGCTCGATCTAGGTACCATTATCCTTTATTGTTATACCCGGGGCTGTGTGTTGGATGAGACTTCCCTCTCCTCGCTTACAGTGGCATCTTCAGATACTGATCAACACTTGAGCCTACTCTATTGGGCTAAGAGCCAAGCAAGTGCGCATTTCAGCGAGTGTGAGCTTGCGAGTCCTACTAGGTAGGTAACTCAGAAACAGCTAGCGAGCAAAGAAAAAGCAGACTAGCAGATTACCTCCGCAAAGAGCTCACTTCAGTCTCTGTCACCGCTTTGATGTTCTACAATGTGCTGGTCATTCTCAACAAGGATTAGTTGAAGTGATTGCGCCAGCTAGTCAAGTACTATCTGTCTATGAGACGTACAGACATTCTTGTAGAAGGCAAGGGAAAATCGTCGGGTTACTATCCTATATAGGGCATTCGCCGGTACTCTGCGGTCTATGCAATGTACAGATAGTGATGAGCTCGCGCCGACATTGAGTGTCTACCTCCAGGAAACACCCTTATCGAGGCTAAGGGGTAAATGGGGCCTCTGGATCTCGCGGAGGCTCCCGTCTGTAGCTAGTAGACATACACGTCATAGTCGAGGCTTTGAAAAAGATCCTTATAGGTAGGTAGTTGAGCGTGCGAAATAGCTTGGTATGGCTTATATCAGGACGAGCTCGGTGAAAGTAAGTATTGATACATGTCATGAACACCCAGTAGTATATCGTAACATGCCTACACGGCATCATCCTGTCTCGGCACTAGTTCCACCCTCCCTTGCCCCCAAAAGCACCACTATCCTCCACCTTCTTCGTCTGGCCCCTCTGACTCTTCTGCTGGGCCGCCTCATGCTTCCGCAGCTCCTCCGGCACACGCGAGATGCTCGACTTCATCAGCATCTGCTTGAGATCGTACATGACATCTGTATCCTCATTGCCCAGGAACGTGATGGCCACACCGCTCTTGCCCGCACGACCAGTACGACCGACTCTGTGCGTGTAGCTCTCGATATTCGTCGCCATGTTGAAGTTGACCACGAGACTGACGTCCGGCACGTCAATACCACGACCCGCCAGGTCCGTAGCGACGAGGACATCCGTCTGGCCGTTGCGCAGACTGGCGAGCGCGGCTTCACGCTGGTCCTGCGTCTTGCTACCGTGCAGCGTGACGGCCGAGAAGCCCATCTTCTGGATGTCGCGGGCCACGGCGTCACAGTTCCGCTTGATGTTGACGAAGACGATGATGGGTGGTGCAAATTCGCGGCTGGCGAGGATCTCGTTGAGACGTTTCTTGCGCTTGTCTTCGCCCGAGATGAACTCTACCCGCTGTTCGACGGTCTCGACTGCCTCGCCGACGTTACCGATCGTGACGATGGCGGGACGACGGAGGTATTTTCTGGCAATGCGCTCGACGGCTGCCGGCATGGTTGCTGTGTACATCATCGTCTGTCTGTAGCGGTCTTTGCCGCTCAGGTGTTGGCTCATGGCAGCTGCATTCTCGGCAGCCTCCGTGTCTGGTTTCTCATTGCCAACAGGTAAGGCGTCTAGGATCTTGTTTACTGGCTCCTCGAATCCCAAGTCGATCATGCGGTCCGCTTCATCCATGATTACGTAGCAGCATTGTGATAGTACCAGGACCCTCCTCTCAATACAGTCGACTAAACGACCGGGTGTGGCAATGATGATCTCTGCTCCGTCGCGCAGGTTGTATGCTTGTTCTTCGATGGCGTGACCTCCAACTATAGAAACACAGGTGAAACCCAGTGGTGTGGCGAACTTCTTTGCTTCAATCTCGATTTGCTGAGCCAACTCACGGGTTGGTGCGAGAATGATGGCGTAGGGTCCGTCGTTCTTGGTCATTTCGTTCAGCGCCGGCAGTTCCGAGATGTAGACCAGTAACGGAAGCAAGAAAGCAGCCGTTTTACCAGAACCAGTGACAGCGACACCAATAAGATCGCGTGACTGCAGAGCAATAGGAATTGCCGCTCTCTGCACAGCTGACGGCTCGTTATATCCAACTCTGTCCACAATATCCAGTAGTCGTTTTGGAAGCCCAGATTCCGCCCACGACCGCATGGGATTCGGTATAGAGCCACCCTTGACACTGATATTGAAATCCTCTTTGAAAATCCGCCAATCCCTCTCCCTCATCTGATCCAACCTCTTCTCACTCCAGTGTTTATCGATTCCATTCCTTCCACCCTCCGCCCTCCTCTTTCTCTCCATTTCCATGATTGCCATCGCCCGCTGTTTGCCGGCCTCCGGATCCCGCTCCTCCAACGCCTTCGCATACTTCAGCGCCGCCGTCGCCTCCGCTTCATCTGCAAATCCACCCAGCCTGCCTCGTCCAAACCCGCTCACTTCCGCCCTCGATTGGTACAGCGGGTTGTGATCCATACTCGTATCCTCTTCGGCATTCCACTCGAAATTGAACTTCTTCTCCGTCGTCCGCTTCCGTTTCTTCTTCGCTGAGAATGTCGATTGTGATTGGTCTGCGCCCATGTACCGCTGCTTAATCAGCGCCGCCTCGGCCTCCTCGTGCGCGGGCCTCTTCGATTGCGGTCCGTTGACTATCGCGACATCCTTCGGTGCGGGCGGTGGTCGCATATCGTAGCCTCGGTTCGGTTGCTGATTGCGCCATGCTGCGGGTCCGGTTGGGGCTTCGCGGTCACGTTGTGCGCGAGGTCCGGTCGGTATTGAAGGTCTGCCATTTGTCGCTGATCCGTTTGTCGCGTTGGGATTCGATCCGTTTCGTGAATCTACGGGTAGGCGCGATTCTGTCCGCTCAGCCTCTGCTCTGCGCTTCGCTTCGGCGACTTCGCGTTCGCGCTTCTCGAGGGCTATCTTCTCCCGCTGCGCTTTGGATAGGAATTTGGGCTAGAAGGAGGGTCTGAAGTTAGTAATGGTTGCGAGACTCTAGATATGACCTGTGAACAAGTGCGCATGTGGAGTGAGGGGAATGACATACTTTCGCAGCTGCTTCATCGGCAGCTTTCTTCTTCGCCAGGATTTCCTCAATACTGAGAGGTTGGGACTTTGGCTTTGCAGAAGCCCATCCTTTCTTCTTGACAATAGGCGGGCCTAGCTCTTCTTCGTCGGCGCGCGACGTGAAGCCGTTGGTTGGAGCTTTTGGAGGCGAGGGCGGTTTTGGAGCGTCTGCTGAAGGAGGTGGTGGTGGAGGAGGGAGTTCACTTGATGGAGGGGGCGGGAGATCAGCAGGTGGTGGCGGAGGTGGTGGCTCGTCCATGTCTGCAGTTTATATGCAGCAAAAAAAAAGGACACAGCTAGTGATACGATGACTTGGTTTGGATGTTGGACGTAGGCGCCTGGCATGTGAAGGTACGAGCTTCGATGATGCGGACTATCTTCGGCTCAGCGTCAACCCCAGCTTTCCTGGAGCTGACTACGGTCACGTGCCAGCAACTTTCTGTTGAACAAAAAGGCATGCGGCAAACGCATTTCAAGGTCGTTTGGACTCGTTCAAGGTGCAAAAGAATGTGGACTAACCCGGAGTCGAACCGGGAACCTTCTCCAACTCAGTAACTGCGGTCGTAACTGATCGAGTGATCAGAACTTCGCAAGATGCTAAGAAGATGTCATACCGCTAGACCATAAGCCCCTTTAAAGCCGCTTTCAAGCTGCTGGATGGAAGGAGAGCGGTCATACGGTCTATATGAGGCAAAAACCGCATCAAACGGACGCGGTTTCGTCGAGAAACGGTGTGTGGAAGATTTGTGCGGATGCAGTGGGAAATTCCAACAGTCAGGGTCCACAGACGCCACGCTAGCATTTGCCGCGTGGCTTGGCGCGGGTAGGGCTGGCAGGGCTGCATGATGGGTTCTTGGAACCGAGCTGCAAGCTTGCTTAAGGTACCTTAACTACAGCGAAGACCATCTTCTCTTTGGTGGGACACAACGATTGTGCGCTCAAGACTTGCTGTTGAGGTCAATCATATGCGATCAAGGTTTGTGCTTCTTAATTGCAATGTCTATATATCTTAAGCCACTTAGGATGATATGCATAACAGATACCGATGCAAACTGGTATTCAAGCTGTATCCTCGAGAGGAGCACTCTGAACTTTGGAGTCAATTCTCCACCTGCATGCAGCTCTTCTCGCTTTTCCTCTTTGCTCTTCCTGGTAGATATATGCCTACGACTTGTCATTCCAAATATCGAATTCATATCATGTCAGAGCCATAACAAGTTTCCAGCCGCCGAGCAGTCTCGAATGATACATGTTTCAGTAATGAATGACAGGCCGAATGTTTATGTAACACGCAATCATTGCGCACACCAGTAATCGAGCAAGGATTACGCCCGCCGTGTAACGAAGGCAAATGTGCTCTCTTGTCTTTTAGATCTACAGCAACTTTGAAAAGGAAATGTGTGTGTGACACCTGCTATACCCACCACAAGGCGTACTGACCTGCCGTCTAACCAACGATAGATTATAGAGCTTCATACTGGTCTCCGTACATTAGAAACGCAGGATGACCCGCTGTGTCACCATACAGAGACCCCGGTCCCAGCCCTAAGCACATCCGTATCTGACTACATGCACTCTCCCTAAAGCAAGCTCGCAACGTTCAGAGACTACGGTGGTGAGTCCATAGCCAGACCGAAAACGTGAAGAATCATGTTGTCAAGATCAAGCAAGAAACAGCCAACGATGCAGGTCTGGGAGGAACTCGACTTATCATTCCCAGATTCCAGAAGAAGGAGGCATGCCCATCATCCCCTCCCGCTGATGCACGCAGTTCGCGGGTTGCCAAAGCCCTGAAACCCTTGATTCATTTGCAAAGCTCTTTTCTGTGCCCACAATAAGTGTAACTTCTTCAACACTCAGACACTAGACCAAACTTCCGATGTTCCAGTCATGGCTAGGTTTTGTCTAATAAACCGGGCGTAGGGCGTTCAGAGTGCGGAGCGTAGACGGGCCTAGGCTTAGAGGGTGAAGTAGACGTATGTCTTATTGAGACTCTCTGCAAGTATATCTTTCACTTACCTAGGGTACTATCGCAAGTCCAGAGATTAATCACGTATTCCTAGAACATGTAGAAGGTCACAGTGCGGGGAGCGTAGAGGGGCCTGCAATGTACTCCTTGTCCAAGCAGGGGTACCTCCACGTGCGGTTCCTCAACAAATTTTGCACATCTTTCACATCTTTCACTTTTTGAAGGTACAGAAGCAAGCCTGGGAGATTTATTCGATTTCTTTTTTAGAGGACCGAATCAAGGTGTAGCGTGCCCTGCACAGTGAGTGCTCTGTAAGGTAGACAGCGCGTGAAGAGAAAGCCTTGCTCTCCTGCTGGCTCTACGATGCCTTGGCTCGCTCACACGATTCCAAGCTCATGCTCCCTGTACCTTACGCCCGGATGGATACGGTCCAATCCCACTCGACATCGTGCGGAGCCACCTCCATCATGTAACCTCCCTGCCACCGAGTCTAGATAAATCCTGAGCACCCCCAGCGAAAGGCCAACAGGCACTGTCATGAAAGAACAATCACCGGGTAATATAGCGCAACCAACCCATCTCCTACTTGGCAGTATGTCTAATCCACATATAACCCGATGTCGCGACGTAGCCACGCGATGGGCTTTATTGCTGGAAGAATCAAAGATCAATGTTCTCTTGCCTTGTATCCCACGCCCCATAGAATGTTGGCAACGTGGGTTATTGAATTGCAAGAGGTGCTTCACTCCGCACCACTACACATAAGGCCCTTCCTACAGTGGACCAGAAAGAACATTCACGTGCTCTTGTAAGGAGCTATTATTGACATGTGTGCCTACGCATCAGCGACATCAGCTTCACCGTCCACGGCCACCACCTCATCCTGCGCGCCGTTGACGGCCTTCTTGGGCACGTCGAACAGCACGGTGTAATTCCTGCCCGTCGTCTTCAACCACCTTCCCAGCCTGTGCTCCTTCCCGGCCGCCGCCACAACACCGAGACCATCCTTCCCTCTATCGCCCTTCTCCCAGACCCTGATATCGTTGATGATACCTCTGACGCTCTTCTGCTCCTCGGGCACCTCGTATCTGGCATAGGGATCGAGCACGGCTTCAGGCGATGTCGACCCGTCGACGCCGTCGACCAGAGTCCGGCTGCTAGCGTTCGACTCCGGAGTTTCCCTGTTCGCGTCCTGCGCTTGCCCGACCGGTCCGAGGGGTTCTAACCGCCTCTTGTCGCTGCTGACTTTCCAAGCGCGTACATGACCGTCCCAGCTTCCGCTGAGTACCACATCGCCGAAGGGTACCGCCGCGAGGGCTGTGATCCATCTTGGCTGCGGTTGGCCGACAAGGCTGGGATCTGGGTTGAGCTCGGCGCTCGCCTCCTCCGGTCGCAGCGGCGGGTCTAAGCCGTGCGCGAGCGGGTACGTGAAGACTGGCTTCTTCTTTTGGATATTCCACAGTGACAGGCATCCATTGTCTGAGCCCGTAACGAACGTCTCGTCGTCAATCATAGCCACGCAATCCATGCTTCCCTCCGCATAGCTGGCCTCTTCGAATTGTCCGTCCACCTCTTCACCTTCCCTCCTCCTTTTCTTGTGCTTGTCACCAGTTCCTCCTCCGCGGAACACCAGCTGCGACTCCTCAACCACGCGCCAATATCTCGCCGTCCTATCTCTTGCGCCGACGCTGACACAGGTCTCCTTCCCCAGTGCTCCAATACCAACAACCTCGTCTTGGTGGCCGAAAAGCGTTTCCACATACGCCAGCTCGTCCAGACTCCACAACTTGATCGTGCGATCCCTGCTCGCGGAAAAAAGCTGATTCGACCCCCTCTTGAAACACAAACTCGTCACACTATCCCTGTGCTGATAGAAGACCTTGAGCGGCTTTAGCGTTTCCGCGTCCCACACAATCAGTCTCTTATCCTGACCACCCGTGGCAACGAACTTGCCATCCTGCGAAGCCGCAACGCACAGGATACCGCCGACGTGGTGCTGGTACGCCGGATCCTGCGCCCTCTTCCCATGCCCCCTCGTATAGAGCAACTTCCTCGCCTTCCCCTGTCCCACCTCTTGAATCTCCCACTTGATCAACGTCATATCCTTACTGGTCGTATACACAAACTTCCCACACACAGCCACCCCAGTCACGGTGCCCGTATCCGCCCTAAACTGCCTACGGACCGCCGCTTCCCACCCCAGCTCGCCCGCAACGAACCGGTACAACTTGCCCTTACTCTCCGCCGTATCCTCTTTCAGCCTCTCGCCCGTCCGCTCCGCGAGTAGCTCCGCATCGATGTCCTTGGCGTCGAACCCCTCCGCCAGGATCTCCGCCCGCGTGTTCTCGAGATAGCGCTCTGCGAGCCTGGTGCGCTTGCCCGCCGCGTCCTCTCCCTCAATTTCGGATTCCGAAGACGAAGCGTCTAGATCGACTGTGCCGGCATCGCTGGCGATATCATCATCGTCGCCGGACGAGACGCTTTCATCGCGGGTGTCTCTGCGTTTCGAGGGCCGCGTATTCGAGCTTCGTTCCGGTCGTCGTTGTGGTGCGGGGTTAGAATCTGCTGGTGCTCGCTTCCGCTTCTTTTGCGAGGAGGGCAGCGTGAAGAAGGACGACATGCTGGCTGGGAGGCTCTGCCAGCTCGGTAGGTTGAAACTGCTTTGGTCGGGTCCGGGCTTCAAGAATTATTTCTGAGGCGGAGGCGAAGGGCTTGGCATGGGCGTCAGGGCTGGGCCGGGGGCCGAGGGCGGTCTGCCATGTGAACGTGGAATTGATCAATCTATACCTAAGGTACATACAGGTAGGTAACCATCGTTGTTTTTCCATACTTTTGCTTTGTCTTCCACCAATAGTTCTAGAATGTTGTGCTTGGAACTGCATACCTCAAGGTAGTGTGTTGTCCAGTCTGTCAACAAACACCATTATGAGAGTGGCGTTTCATCTGTAAAGCTCCCATAACGGCACAACCTCCAGCTGATATGTGACCTTCCCTTCCAATACAGCTCGAACGTCCCTCATGGGTGGTCAGGCTTACTTGACACGCCTAGCTCTGGTAAGCATTGTATGCGTCTGCACTGTATTCGTCACTTTAGTACCACGGCGAGAGCTTCCTACATTCCAACCTTCACCACCCTCCATGTCTTTACATCGCACGCATATATATCCCAAGTATCCTAATAAGCTCAGGGTCGCTCAGCCTTTGAGCCCGTTCAAGAAGACGCGCAGCCCACAAGTACTACAGTCCATGTAGATGGCTCCCAGCAATATGACGCGAAGGGAAACCCGATCAACCCTCTATCAGCCTCGCAAAACCGCGTCCAGATCGATGCCAAGAATATAGTTCTATCCACAGTAGGCGTAGTCGAACGCAAGAATGAATCACAAAACCGTGGTCTGTCCTTGACGAAAGCAGAATGGGAGGCCATCATTTCCTACGAGAACGAACGAGGAGCTAGGCTCGAGCAGTGGGCGAGAGCATCGCAGGCGACGGCGCAGCGGTGGTGGATTCGGGGCTTGCGGAGACGATTCCAGGTAATTATGTCCCGTAACCTTTCAAAGGTGGTGAGATGCAACAGATGCTGATGTTCTGTTTTCTCCAGGCAGGATTGCTAGATGTCAGGCTTCCAATGACTACGATCCTAGCCCGGGAATGGCGACCGA